TCTTTTCAGATGTACCAACAGAAATCTAAAATTCTGTTGCACACTGTACATGTGTGTGCAAGGGGTGTTTGTGTGCATACATGTAAGTGACTGTTTCCCATGTGATAAAAACTCAGGTAGTCAGACCTCTGATGATACCAGCAAGACTAAAGCAATTTCTACTTCTACTCTCTGCCTTCTACAATTGGATTTATAACTGAAAACTTATCTAATGACTTTCATGACTTCTTAGGGGTTTTATGCATCTATGCACATGAGTATGTGGATATAAATGGGAAACCCATGTTTCCTGAAAGAGCCCATAAACAAAGAGCGCCCCTGCTTTCATTATTGACTGCACATTCCCTTTTGCAGGAGACTCAGAAATGCCAAGCTATTTCAACTGACAGCATCATAACAATAATTATATTCTGAACTTTACAGTTGACAGCATTTCTCAAAGAAATCCATTTATGGTGATGTTAAGGACAAGGCCAGCTTTAGCACATGTATTGCTGGACACAACTCAGTAGGAATAAAAACTGGAATTGCTAGGTAATAAAACATATAACAAAATCACTGTCTTCATGGGGAATGACACAGATAAATCATAAACTATTTTCTCCAGATACTAAATATAAATTATTCCAGTTATTTTCATGACAAACATCAGTCATCTCTTTCGACTGATATATAATTGCAGACCTGATGAGAGCACTAAGCATCTTCCTTTCAGGCTAAATGGAAGGAGAAATTAAACATCTGCTTATGAAAAGGTAGTGAGGGACAACTGGAGGCTACTGCCCAAGATAATGACTTCAATTACAAAGGCCAGCCTAAACCCCATGGTCTAAAGAAGCTGAGGATTTATTTCAGTGACATGAATTGAAAAAACAGAACCATAGGATTTTATGAGAGTGTTTGTGGGGAAAAGCAGTGAGACTCTTTTCTTCCCAGGCTTCCTTTCCATGGACATGGAACAAGCTGGAAGAAAACTGAACTATTCTGTTTTCTGTCTTGGCAGAGCAAAAGAGTTTTCTGTACACCATTTGTGATATGTAAGATTATGCTAACAAATTGTTTGTATTCTTGGAAAATTATTTGCATAATTTTAACTTTGGAAGAAATTTTGAATCCTATTAGTTAAGCACCCAAATCGATTTAAAATATTTGTCCTTTTGCTTTGTGCTGACTTTCCATCACTGTACTGACCAAAACTTAGAGACATGAGTAATGAGTTCAGGGTTGCTATACTTTGGAAGGTGTCCAGGTAAGAGCTGATAGATTTATTTGAGCTGTCTTTAACACCTCAGTTTAAAGAGAAACTGCCTACAAAGAAACCTGGCTTTCCTAACAAAAAATTGAACCACAGGGACTTTAATGGGACAAGTGAGGTTGGAAAAAGAACAGGCAGTTTAAAAAGACTACTTTTTATGTACTTTTTATGTATGTTAGAATTAATAATCTTTAACACTTTCTTTGTTAAATAAAGCAATAATGTGTTTAAATGCTTTGGAAAAAGAGACCTGCCTGTGTGCTCTGACATACAGTTTTTTCCTCATAGAAAGTAAGTCAGGATGCTGATGCCTCCAGTGAGATGCTGGGAAAGAGCAATCACTGTGCATCTGGGGAGCCACCACTGTCCCTGAGAACAGGTACTCAGGGTCACACTTGAGTGGCAGGTGCTGAGTAATTGGTCTCCTGGTCCCAACTCTGAAATTGCTGAAAAATCTTGCCTGGGATCTGCTCATTTTCCAGAGGCTTTAAACATCCCAATACCTTTTAAAGGCAACCCGCTGCTTGAAAGACAAGAAAATATGTGCAAATAAGAGTGTTCTGCAAAGGAGATGAGAATATTTAGGTTTGCATGCATGCTCTAAAGCATATTGCTTTTCCTGTAGCCTCAAGATACCAGGTGAATTTTCAGGTTCAGATATTTGGCTGTACACTCAGGGAGTTTTGTAGGATTTCTGCATCAATTTTTTATGTACTGGAGAATCTTCCTCCCAGCTAGCAAATCCTACCACCCATACAGCAAATAGAAATCTTTTGGCACTGACTGGTACTCCATAACACTGTATAAAGGCTCATGTGTAGTGTGTGGGGGTAACAATACTCCATCACAGAGAGGGCAGAGGATAGCACAGCAATTAGTTTCACTGCCACTCACTAGCCAGCAGAGCCCAGCATGGAAGTCCAAGGCATATTTGTGAGAGGAATGATGTTGAAATAAGAGTGATGACTTCAATAAGACCCTTAGTATCTGTGGGAGATGCAATGGTGAAGTGTCCTGAAGATGACAGTGAGTAGAGGATAGTTGCACTTGCTCAGTCCAAACATGCTTGTTCTGAAATCCATCTTTTGTTCGTCAGTTTTTATGTACTTGTCACACCAAGGACAAGCTGACAGCTGCAATATATATAAGAGGTCTGCTGGAGAAATATGTTGCTTGTTAAATGCTTTGTAAGGCAAAATCCAGCCAGTGACTGAAGTGGTATTCTGGACAGCACAGGTAACATCTCCCAGAGAATCACTGACTGCTTTGTTTACATTGGAAAGGACGAGAAGTGGGAGTCAAAGGAGCCAAATTACCCAAACAGGGAACTGAGATGAAGCAGAATGATTTGCATGCTAAATATAGGATTTTTTTGTCTCACTTCCAAGACAATGCCAGGAGTGAAATATTGCATTTTCACCGAAAGAGGATAGTGGCAATATGCCACAAATTTCATTAGTTAAAAGACGATTGCTTCTGCTTTTGATATTCACTTACAGGCAGCAATATGAGGAACAATTAGAATACCTCAGATCTTAAAGAGTCTGGTGATGTTATAACTAATAATGTGAATATTGGTTGGTTTATTCCCTCCATGGTGATGGAGAGTTTCACCAAAATAAATCTTGAGTAACTCTCAAGAACAAAGACATATTTCAGGTGTATATCAGTTGTGATCTGTTGGAGTTTTTTTCCTACTTCAGTTTTGTGTGCTTAGATATTGCAGTTGGCCAGGTGACACTTCAGTTGTTCTTAGCTTGTATGTAACAATTTGTTTTTATTATTACGAAGATGGATCAAGCTGAGCTGATTGGTAGACTGTTACTCTAAGAGCAACAAAATTACCCTTTCTGATGTATATTTTTTAGGAATAAATCTTAAAAGTCAAATACACATATGGCATCTGTATTTGTAAAAGTCAAACACACATATTAACCATGTGTGAAATTACCCATGTTGAATTTCACTGGGTGCTTATAATTTATCAAAATATGAAAGCCAGATAAACTAACAAACATGGGGCATTAGCACAGTGAGACGATCTTTATTTGTAAGCAGCATTTAGCACCATTTATTCATGACTTTGGTTTCTACTGACCATCTGTCATAGCTGCTGTCAGCTTCAGAAGCCCCGTGAACTTTGCCAGTCCTGTGTTAGACTTCAAAAGATGCTGCACCCAGCCACCAGTATGACTTGGATCCAGAGACCATATTGTGGCAGCATGAAACAAAGAGTGGTTTTGGCAAGAACAAGAAGAGGCTGGCCCTGTATTTCAGTTCTGCTCCTTCCAAAGTAGAAGGCATTTAATTGGATTAACTGAGCTGAGGTCACCATTGCTTGAAGAGGTAGCACCAGATGCCCTCTTGGGATACTCTTACTCAGGGTCATCTGAGAAATGGTGAGAACTAAACCTGTCTCCCTGTAATCTCCCTGTTGCAAGACTGTACTCCTCTTGCTAATGAGGTCCACAGCAAGACCAGGTAAATGCATTTGATGTTTTCAAATAGCTTCTATGGCATAAAAGAAGTGAGACTATTTTAAAGCATAAATTATAAAAATCTTTTTAAATACCTGGAAAGCAGTGAACACTCATGAGCTGTATCAACAGGTTCATCAGTGCAGTCTGGCACAGCTGATTGCAACAAAACAGAAAAGACAAGACAAAAAAAAACCAAAAGACATTTATCAAGCATTAATCCTTTTTAGATTCTCTTTAAGAAATGTGTGGACATATAGTCAGCATCAATTTCCCTCCTTGTATTCAGCTCACAAATGTATTTTTAAGTCCTGTGGATCTTGGCATGCCTTTGTCATGTTGATACAGAGATTGTTGCTGAATTTCCCATTTTTAATCTCCTATGAATATCCAGAATCTCTGGAAAGAGTTTTGTTGACTTGTGTTATTTCCACTGTCCTCACACTGGCAGAGGAGGAACTGTGCTCACCTCTGTTGAAGAGTATGTGCTAGTACACTATTTTATTACAGGATGCAGAACACTGAGTTTCAAATCCCTTTGGAAAAGGGATTTGCAAATTTTCTTGCTTTCTTGAAAATTCATGTCCTGGCCTAAAATTTCCAAGTGTATTTCAAATTTGGCAACAAAAGGAAGTAAAAATGGACAAGAAACATCCCTTACGTATGCGCAGATACAGATAACAATAACAATAACAATAGTGATTCAGTAGCTATCATTTTTTACAAGATTGTAATAATCTGATTATCTTAATCCTTTTATTTGATATTTAGTATAAAATTATTGTGTATTCTTTGTCTTGGTGGCCTGCTATTGACCTCTCATCAGCTTATTATGAAGAATAAAGCTCGGGTATATTTTGCAAAGAACACTGGTATGTGCTATGCTTTCTATATCTCTTTAGCATTTTTTTGCTGCTTTAGTGAACACAAAAAATGCCTTGAAAAATAAAAAGACTCATGGACTGCATAGGAGTTGGGAATGTATAGTAGTCTGAGGAGGGGCATGAAGCTGGAAGTAGCTTTTGTTTTGATCTGTTTGAGGAGGCATATTCTGAAGACTGTTCTCTGTTCCCATTGGCAAATCTCCCAGGAGAGTTGTGGTAAGCTGGGCACAATCAACCCTCAAAATCTGCTCCGTTAGCACAGGTGTCGAGCTGGACCAGCGGATGCAGTTCTGTTGTCTCTACCGTGCCTAGAGGGTTTGCCCTGCCTTCAAGCATGCCTTCTCCTGGGCTTCCCCACCTACACTGAATGCATGTGAATTACAGGTTGGTTCCTGCACTACAGGTGGACTTGTGGCAGCCCAGCAGCCCCTTCCACATCGTCCAAGGTGCAGTGGCTGACGTGCGAGTACCGCAGAACGCGACGCGGAGCCTGCTGCCCTTCCTCCAGCAAGCAAACATCCCGTACACGTAAGCCCACGCTCCTCTTCCCGTGCCTCACTCCAGAGAGCTGGCCTTGGGGCAGGTCTGCATCTACCACGCCAAGTGTGCTCGAAAATACCTTCCACATCACAGCAATTAGGCTGGCAGACAGCTCGGCATTGCCAAGAAAACAACCGCTTTAATGGCAGAGCAGCAAATCTCCCACAGGCAGCAGCTTTAATTAAATGTCCTCCTTTGGAGTCAAGCTGAAGTGTTTTCAATGTATGTGAAATCACATCTGTTAAGAGAGGGCTGGTAATTACTAATTCTGCAGCCTGGTTTGCCTCTTTATTTAGCACAAGCAAGGTTTATTTACAAGTGAGCTGCAAATGCAGAGGCAAAACTTCTGCATCAATTATACAGGAGCTACTTCTATCATTCTCCAATCCTAGTGACCAACGCAAGTCATACAGTACAAATGCAGTACTTTTAGTTTCACATATTATTTATAGTGCTCCTTAAAAAAAATTCAAGGCAATTTTGGAGTATACTTATCCTTTCATATTTATCCATATGATGTACTGGACTAGAGTAATAATCTTTTTTAAAGCCTTCTCAATGGTATGCCTAAGCATCTGAATAATCAGCTCATGAGTTCTCAAACATTTGCTGAATAAAGACTTACATGAGGTTATTTATACTTATTTCTCAGTGATAAAAGAATGGTGTAAATCATAATGTAGATGCATTTATGTATACATATGTATAGTACTCATCAGAATCCCATTTTATTATAACAATGCTCTCTTCTTAATTAGTTGTTCTAAAAATACAGAAACAAACATAAGGAAATTAAGTACACAAGCTCCATAGCTGCAGTTCAGAGTGACTTTCATGTGGGTTCAGCATTGCTTTGGTTTTGTTTATGTTTAAAACTGAGATGGGGCTTTTTCTAATTGTTTTCCTGTGCTTATAAAAAAATGTTGCCTAATTACTGTGACCCAGCAGTTGTATTCATGTCTGCTGCTGTTCCTGCTCACAATAATCACCTTCAATGAAATGACAGGACATTTTACATGTGTTATAAACACTCTCTGTACTTGAAGACCTCTGCTTGGGTTGCAAGCAATGCGCAAACACAAGATCTGCCAGAGCAAAAGGTCTCTGCAGTTTACCTCAAAAAACATGCTACAAACACTGGATTAATCTTCCACAGAGAAAATCTCTCTGACTTTTGGCACACAAGTTATGTGCACTTGGAAGGAAACTGAGCAGTATTTTACCAGGTCCAGACTTGTCCTTTGCCTTCCCTCTTATTCTCCTCGCTGCCTGTTTTGGATGGTCCCAGCCATTAGGAACAAAACCCTGCAAAGCATGTGCTTGTCCTGACAAGCCTCCTGAGATCTGTAACTCCACAAAAGCCAGGAGGATTCACCATGAGAGCAATAACAGCCATAATCAGGGAGCAGCAGGAGCAGGCTGGCCAAGCACAGCCATGCCCACAGCACAGCTGGGGTGGGGACCACAGCCCTGAGCTGAAGTGCAGCTCTACAGCCAAGATTTTGTACAGTTCCTTTTCACATAGTTGATTTTCCCTTTTTTTTTTTTTAATTATTTTTCCCCACACTCAATGGAGTCAAATTCCTACCTCCCTTTTGGAACTGGAAAAGTCTGAGCCAAACTCCAGATAAAATTTCAGCTTGATGCAGTGATGCTTACCTGAATTATGACACAGTCACAAAATCAGGAAGCATTTCAGCTTCCCTAATAATGACCAGCACTTGCCTGTAAAAGAGGCTTATGTCTCTTAGGGTTTGACTTCCTGACAAGTTGGCCATGAAAACAAGCCAGGCATCAGATAAACTCTCTGCACCAAGTTGCCTCAGTTGTAAGGCTTTTGGTAAAGAAGCCACTTGCGTTGCATTCAGACCTGAGGGACTTAAAAGCTTTTGTGTTATAAGCACACACAGTACATAGTCATTTAAAAGTAAATTATCAAATCTCATTTAAAGTACAGGTGCATAAGTGCATAAGTTAACAGAGCTTGATTCTAGTAGTTGCTTATACTAATCAGAATTCTGCAAAGCAGTCCAACATTTTTTTAACTATTAGATGCCCTAATGACTTGAATAAAATCACTGCTTTAATCACCTTTACAGTACTACTCTTATTGTATATATAGCACCTCTCTAGTCAAGACTATAATCCTTTAGTTTGCTTAATGAATGTTGCTGATGTAGAGCAATGTAATTCCTAATTATACAACTACTTCACTCATGCATTGGAAGGTAAGAATAACCTTTACTTTGATTCTATATGCAGATAGACCCATTACCTTTGAGGCATCTGCTGCACAGCTGAGTTAGGAGCAGAGTAAATGCCATTTCTTTCCATCTTTTTCCAATCACAGAAGCTAATGCCTATAAAAATGTAAAAGGTTGAATGTGACTGGCTTTTTATGGGAATGGTGAATTAATGGCATGGTGATTACACATTGCCATGCTTTAGGAGAAGAAGGCATACAAGGATGACTCTCAGTTTTACAGTAATGTTGTTACAGATACCTGTGATAGTATTCCCTACTCTCTGGTGGGATATATGGATGCTTCAACTTCTTCATTTTAATTATTTTTAGATGTTTTCTATATTATAATTTTGTATTTGTGTCATTTTTCATTTTTGCCATAAAACAGGAAAGTTTCAGCTTACACAACTCTTCCTGCATTTTACTCTTAATGCAAAGAACCTCTCACTTTTTTTGCAAGTATATTTAAATTTCACTTAGCATTTTTCATATTTTTCCTGAGTTATTTGAACAAAACTGGTGAACCACTACAGCAGAGTAGATAATGTAAGCAACAAAGCCCACTTTAAATTTTTTGCTTGCTATTTTTTTCTTGTTTCAGACAGAATGGTAACGCTATCAAGTTTTTATTTTTTTTGTTTTGCCTCTACAACTTGTAGCTATATGTAATGTTCCATGACACTCCCAAGAGAAAGTGAGTCCATGTTTTCCTAAGCTTACAAAGATTTTTGAAATGGTTTGAAATCAGTTTTTGAAGATCCATGATCATCTAGTATAAGTGGATTATAAAAGAAGACAGTAAATGTTGCTCCAAAAACAAATGAAAGTGGGTGCTTCTTCACATTGGATACCTTATTTACATCATTCTGTTTCAGTCATTTAACAAGCTTATTGTGTTTTTGAAGGCACTCTTACATTTCAAAGCAGCTGGAGTATTTATTTGGCAGCTTTTATTCAAGCGAGGCACTGAAGCACTCTATTGTCAAAATGTAACAGATGAAGTAAAGTCAGGATGGTTTAACTTTTGCTATATTTCTTCTAATAGTGATTGTTCTGATTTAGTTGTGTGTTCTTCCAGCTTTTCAATAATACCACTATCTTTTTTTACTTAGGATTCTCATATCAGACCTACAGCAAGCAATAGAAAACCAAACTGGAGGGAGGTCCCATAGGAATCGAAGGTCTCTCCCTGGGTATAACTATGAAGTATACCACTCCCTGGAAGAGGTGCATTAAAATTCATATTGTTCCTCTTATCTACTACAATGTTCTGGTTACCTGTTCATCTTCAGGAGTGTTCTAAGTGTTTCTTCTTAAAAAATGGCACTTCCTTGAAAAAAAATCTATTTACTCTACTACAATGTTCTGGTTACCTGTTCATCTTCACGAGTGTTCTAAGTGTTTCTTCTTCAAAAACAGGCACTTCCTTGAAAAAAAAAATCTATTTAATATTTGTATTCAAGGCTTATCTTTACATGCAACTATCTTTCAGAGCATCTGAGTTTTGTTTTTAAAGTAGTCTTCTACTCTGGTTGAATAAGAGATTTCAATGAGTGATTGGTCACACTAAGTCATTTAATTAAGCAATACAAGTAAATGCTTAAGTATTTGCACAGGAGGTACAAAGACGTAAAAACACTTAGATACAAACCCATTTATGAGGAATGCTATCCTGGATGATGGCTGGGTAAATAATTCCTGTTGAATTTACTGTGCTCACATATACAGTTTCAGTCTCAAAACAAAGTCACTAGGCTGAGCATGGAGAGTGCTGCATCACAAGATCTGGTGCCCACTAAACAAATACTGCAGGTAGCATGGAGTCTTGCATGGAAATCTGTTTGCCATTGTGTTCTGGCAGGCAGAAACATGGAGCTTCTTTCTTAATTCCATTAATATTTAGTGGCAATGGTGGATTAGCCTCATCCCCATATTTTCAATGGAGAGCTTATGTATTCCAGTAATACCCAGCAATGAAATGGAAAAAAAAATCCCATGTGAAAACTGCATCCAGCCTCTGGCTATAGAGCTGTGACTGCCAAATAATGGTTAAAGTGTGAAAACAAAAACAAACAAGACAAAAATAAAAACTATAGGAAAATCAAAAAATAGAGAGAGGACAGAGAGCTGAGCCAAATAAATGTATTGCACTTTCTTCCCATGAAATGCAAAGATTGAAGCAATGATTTTATTTTTGTGTTTGCAGATCGAGGACTGGATGCATTATCTGAATAGAACTTACTCAGATCTTGTTCACATGTTCTCTGTTGGAAAATCCTATGAAGGGAGACCACTGTATGTACTCAAGGTAAAGATTAAATAGTCATTAATGAGACTAAAATCTGGAATCAGTGACAGACAGTATTATTTATGTTACAGCATATACACCAGAGATTCAGCTTAACAGTGTTTCCTAAGGATGAGTTGCTGAAATCTAAGTATCTCTCTGAATGTCATCTTTAATGAAAAATGGGAAAAAAAAACCCTGGAAACTAATAGCCAAATCCTATTTACCTGGATTGGATATGCATGGAGAAAGATAACAGGACAAGTTCAATTAGCAGGATTTGGATTTAAGTGGATTGGAAAGCTTTTTGTTTATAGACAACTAGGAGAGCAGTTATGCTGGAGAGGGATCCCAGAGGACTGTGGAGCCCTTCTCAGCATGTGCCACAAATGCTGCTTCTTTACCTACTGACAAAATTTCAGGGCTGTGTGCTCTAAATTCACATGATAAGGAACACAAATTAGAGTGTGTCAGCAACATGCAAAAAAATCTTGCTTTCAATGTATTTCCTTTTTGTCTTCTATTGAAGAGTTCTGAAAATTTGATTCACTATCATGCAATCCATGTAGTGTCATTGTTCCTCACCCTACTTCATGTAATAATCATTCCTCATAAAAGAGGAACTTGCAGATCTCACTTCTGATACAGTTTTTTTCCTTAAGTCAGCCTTATTATTGTGGCATACCTACCTAACATTATCTTGGCCATACCTTTTAAAACAGTAAATTTGTGTTCCTTTATATGAGGCAATTCAAAATGGTTTAGCCTCTCTCATATTCTATTATTTTCTCATTATTGTGTTTTCACTCATGTCATGCGATCTACTGGTATTTTGTGAATATTCACATTTCAAGTTAGGTAAAAGATCACGGCCCTACAAGAAAGCTGTATGGATAGACTGTGGGATTCATGCAAGAGAGTGGATTGGCCCAGCCTTTTGCCAGTGGTTTGTGAAAGAAGTAAGTGTTTCAAATTTACAGTCATACAGTTCTTTCTGTTAAGTAAACTCTGCATTTTTGCTGTAGCAGATCTAACACACTACTAATATGGAAAGCTATAAAAGTAACTGTTATACCTCTCTTTTAAAAAATTATTTGTGGAATACTTAAGTGCTTAATAAACAAAGCTGTTAGTGACAGCCAGACACAGCTAGGCACAGGACAAAAATATGCCAGACACATACTGGCAGAGATATGAAGTAGGATTTTATTCCAAGACCTAAAAGTGTGAAGCTTTTCAGTAATTTTGGTAATTTCCCAGGTAAATCAGTGCCAGCCTGTACTGCTTCAGATCAGTTCAGCAGTATCTTTGTTTTAAGGACTTAGTTTAAAAGACACATTTCTCTTTTCTGCAATTCCATAGGAATAGAAAGCTAAAGTCACAGAATCACAAAATAGAACATAGAACTGTTTAGGTTCGAAAAGACCTTTAAGATCACCAAGTCCAGCTGCTAACCTAACACTGCCAAGTCCACCACTAAGCTGTCACCCCAAGTGCCACGTCTACACATCTTTTAAATACCTCCAGGGATGGTGACAAGCATTTCACTGGACAGCCTGTTCCAATATTTGACAACCCTGTCAGTGGAGAAATTTTTCCCAGTATCCAAGCCCCCCCTGTCTCAACTTAAGGCCTTTTTCTCTTGTCCTGTCACTTGTTACTTGAGATGAGAGGCTGGCTCCCACCTGGCTACAGCCTCCTCTCAGGTAGTTGTAGAGAGCAATAAGGACACTCCTGAGCCTTCTTGTCTCTAAAGTCCCTCAGATCCCTCAGCTGCTCCTCATCACATTTGTTCTCCAGAACTTCATCAGCTTCAATTCCCTTCTCTGGACTCACCCCATAATCTCAATGCCTTTTTTGTAGTGAGGGCCCAAAATTGAACACAGGATTCAAGGTGTGGCCTCACCACTGCCGAGTACAGGGGGACAATCCCTGCCCTGGTCCTGCTGGCCACACTGTTCCTGATACAGGCCAGGTATCATTGGCCTTCTTGGCCACCTGAGCACACACACTTTCTCATGTTCAGCTGCTGTTGACCAGCACCCCCAGCTCTTTTTCCAATGAACATCTTTCCAACCACTCTTCCCTCAGCACTGCATGGGGTCTCTGTGACTCAAGTGCAGGATCTGGCACTTGGCCTTTCTGAACAGTCGATTTCAATCTGTCAAGAATTCATCCACCGTGTTTCCATGACGGCAACTGTCATCATTTTTCTGCTGTGCAATGGCTTCCAGCTCCTGTTTGTTGCCCATCCTTTGTGAACTGGGGATGTGCTTCATTTGGGCTACTGAGCCAAATGCCTTCTGCAGGGAAGAAGCCCTAATTCCTACACGACCAGTTTTAGGCACTTCTGTGGTTTCTAAGACGTCAATACCCTTCTGTCTTTGCTGCCACATAGGGCTCCATCCCCAGCCTCCACTGTGATGGCAGACCAAAGGACCTGTCTAGAACAACATCCCTCAAACATCCATGTGGTGCCCCCAAGTTTATCAAGCCTGGTTTTATCCTCTTCCACCTTCAAATCCAGTTTAAAGCTTTTTCAATAAGACCTCTTAACTTATGATCAAAGATCCTTTTTCCTCTTTGAGACAGGTACACCCTATCTCACGGGAAAGCCTGCTTCTTTTGACCCCATGGTCAAAAACCCCAAAATTCTGCCAGTGACACCTGTCTCAGAGCCAGAGATTGATCTGCTGGCTGTTCTTCTTCATAGATGGATTTCACCTGAAATGATGAATTTCATATTCTCTGAAAAGCAAGCTATTCCAATGTTTCTTTGATTCTGTCTCATTGAGTTTATTCTCCCTTTATTTTTGATGCCTAGTGTTTAGTCTCCATATTCACCCATTTGCAGTTTTCAAATGAGAGGTGAAATCAAATGGAATTGGAATTTTGCTTCCAAAATGTCTCATTCTGTTTTGGTTCTGGTTTGTTGGTTTTTTGGGGTTTCTGGGATTTTGTTGGTTTTTTTTTTTTTTGGGGGGGGGGTTGTTTTGTTTTTAGTTTCTTTGGTTGGATTTTTTTTAATAGGTTAAACTCTTCTAATTTGCGATTCATTACAGATGCATTATATGTTTACAGTGTTTTGCCATTTCCCGTAGCCAACAAACTTTTGTTCAAGATGAGACATTAGCTGCACAATGGAGACTACCTTGCAATGTAATAGGCAGAAGTCAAAAGTGACTTAAAAATTCCCCCACATGTGTGCTTTGAGTACTTTGCATGCCATTTTTTTGCACAAAATAAGGGTTGCAATATACTTTTAAAAGCTTCTTCCTATAAACACACATTTTTCTCACTTTTCTTCCCACCCATCTCTGTGTAATTCTACAGTGTATTAATACCTCCTCTGATTTTGTGAGAGTAAACTTCTGCATCATCAACACCCTAATGCTGAGATGGTCATATAAGCATGTGTGGCCTTCCCTCGGGAATCACAACAGTGTACAGGAAAAGTACAGAAATAATGAGGCCACTACAGTTTGGATGAGCCTGTCACCACAAATAGGTTAAATGAGGTTCAGGAGCTGGTCTCCAGATTTTGGTGTGCAGCGATTGTGTGTCATCTTATTAAGACTCCTGTCAAGGTGAAGATGAACTAACTTGCAATTTCTGAGCAGCTTTCCTACCCAGGAGAACATGCTGCAGTATGGAGGGACACTGGGGCAGAAAGGCACTGGTGGGAAACCTATTGTTTAAATTCCTCTTTCTTACCAAAGTTTTCCTATAAAGCAGTACAATGTGGCAGTAGGGTAAAAATCACAAGACTTCTCTGTAGACCTTATAGCACAATATAGGCTATGGGTGTGTATATAAAAACCTTCTGGTTGTTATTTGAGATCTTCAGAGAGTAGCTTGTAAGGCTGTTTCTCTAATTATGTAAAAACATTTTCCTGGATTAAAAGTAGTCTCCACAGAGCTCCTTCAGACTACAAGAATGTACCACCTTTGTCTGCCCATCCCTTCTCAGAGCAGTATTTCAATCCAACTTAAAAGCAAAAAGCACCAGGAAGGGAATACATTATGCTCATAGTCTCCATCATCATATTAAAAACAACTGGCTAAGGAGGAGAGACAAGATTATTACATTGTTTGATTTAGGATATTACTTTTCTCATTGTATGAATTAGAAATTTTTAGTAAGAACTCTGGGGAAACTGATGGTCTTTCTGTGCTTCAAACTCTGCAATTCTCTTTTGCTGGCAAACTGCTCCCTTAAGCACCTCTGCAGCCTGGCAGCCCAGTTTTCCATCCCCCCTAGTACTTATGGGCAGTTCTGAGAAAGGGCTGGTAGCTTGGAAACAGATTTTTCCTGGCATGTTTGTTGACTCTAAGGAATAGCACCACAAGTCCATTGATTTAAGGCAAGCAAGAAGGAATGCTGGATTTACATGATGTTGGCTTCTTTTCTAACAGGAACAGCATACATGCATTCCTTTACTATGCAGGCAGCCTGAAATGTCTTAGCAAGCTTTCACCCTGTGATCTCTGACACTTATTTTTATTGAAGTATATCCATGTTCATGGGTACAAGAAGGTTTTTCAGGCAATTTAGCTTAGGAAGAAAACCCTCTATGAATGAATGTCACTTAATATTCAGGCCTCAGACTGGGTGCCTCAAATTTAACCAAATACTCTATTCAGTTTGGGAACCCTCAGCATCTGGTTTGCACCTCTAGAAGTGGCAGTTTTTGCATGACAGTAGATTTGCTGCAGGCAATGGGAGAGCACCTCCAGAGGGTGGAAGTGCCAATGAGCAGCTGCTCATGTGTTTTTCCTGGGCATGGCAGCAGCTCCCCGCTGTCTACAGAGAATCTGGAATTGTTCAGCTAAACTGGATCTGGCTCCCACCTACTTAGAAATGCAAAACAGACTAAAGTAGACCAGACTTGGGAAGTGAGGAGGTAAGGCTGGAGCATGGGAAGGCAAGATGCTGCCTGCTGTGCAGACTTGCTCTTTATTTGGGCAATTACAATAATTAGAGAAAAAGAAGATAATAACTAGAGAAAAATTTATAGAGAAGTTACATATTTAAAAGAGAAAGACAATGCACAGGATATTATGTGATAATATATTTCAAAGTACAAAAGCAGCCTACTCACATTTTGAAACAAACAAAAGAAGAGCAAAGACTATGGCTGGGGGAGTTGTGGGTTTTGTTTAGTTTTCTGTTTGTTGTTTTGGGTTTGTTTGTTTTTGGGGTTTTTTCTTATAATCTACTCCAGAATGAGCTCTAGCCTTGGCTCTGTGTTCCATAGGTCTGATGTTAATAACAACATCACTGTTTGTTTCTGTGGAAGGCACCCCTAAGAGTCTGTAGTCTCTTGGCTAAAGATAATCAGATGTTCTGTCAGGATTAGCTGTACTGCTGGCCTCTGGCAAACCCCACCTCATTGTCATTGAATTTCAAATCAAGAAAGGGGACACCCTGCACACACAGGACCAGAGTTTTAGGTACCTGCTAATGAGACACAGAGAAGTGTCTGCACCTGTACTGTAGTGAAATAGCAGTCAGGTTACAGTGGAATCCCACCCAATTTAAGCCTTACTCAGCTGGGAAGTGATGGAAAAAGGGCTCTGAAAGTGGAAACATGACAAGACCTGTGGTGGAGTATGCAAGCAAGACAAACTGTAAAAGGAAACAGAACTGATTACATGTGAGCTACTTTGAAGGCAACCTGCAAAGATAAATGAACCCAGAACTTGTGTCCACAGCAAGAGATTCAGGGAAAAAAAAAAAAAGAAGAAAGTTTTGTTAGCCTAGAATTTTAAAAAGGGTACCTGGGTTCTAATACATTAATATGTGTTAGTAAATATTATGAACTGAAAGATACTGTAATATGTGTAACTACTTTGTAGAAAGCAGTAGACTTTAGAAACAAAATTCAGAGATATAATGTATTTATCCAAAATAAATAGCCCTCGCAGAAACAAAGACATAATACCTATAGCCATTTTG